AAGCTACGTAGAAAAAGAGGCTTTATAAATACCTCCAATTCAGAAGTAGCCGGGATTGACATCCACAATTAGCTGAAGGGTTTGGTAGGCTGTCAAGTATATAAAGTATATATGTTTTCCTTTTCCCGCTATCCGAGGGAGGCAAACTTCCTGAAACAACTTTCCAGATTTATTACCGATTGAAAGGGCTGGGCAGTTCTGGGTCTTCCTGGGAAAATCCCTGCAGGTCCAGCCTGGCTACTATCCCCTCCTGAATTTGTGGTATCCACTGGAGCATCACCCAGGAGCTGCATCACAGCAGCGAGTCTGATCCGGGCTCTCAAATCCCAAATTAAAGACCTAATCTCTGGATTAGGCCCTTCCCCTCTTTAGACTGTCCTATTTTCCTTTGGATTTCTTCTGATTTGAGCGTTCCTTCTCCTTAGCTGAATCCTTTCAATGCTCTGTGTGTGTCTCCAGTGTCAGCATCCAGCCTTCCCCTCTCTCCTTCCAGACAGTCTGCAGCTCCTCCTGCGTGTCCCTGGCCTGCTTTCCTCTGCCTCTACCCATTTCTCCACCTCATCCCTCCACTTCCAAAACCTCCCTGCTCCTTATCTCCCCCTCTCCGTGCCCTCCAGCCTTCTCGAGCATGGATTGATTGCTCTTCCCACTTTCATTGTCTTCTGAAATGAAAAAACAGTGAATTTGTCCAACTCCTTCTGGTTGTATCTTATAGTTCCACCTGCCTGCTTCCATGTTATTCCCTTTTGCTCATCTCCTGTGGTTTGAAGTAGCCCCTCTCAGGCGTCCCCTCATTTAATTCGACAGCCCCAGCCTGTGTTTTATACTCTCCTTATCATTATGGCCTGACTGCTCCCCTGGCTCTCATTTCACCCTGTCTCCGTCCATCTGCCCCTCTTCTGTGGCCATCCCCCTTCTGCTTTGTTTGGACAAATGACAGCCTGGGTGTGACCGGCGGTGATAATGGTTGACAAATATTTGAAGGGAGGAGGAGAAAAATTGTTCATTGGGGAGTTTCAAGGGGGAGGACAGGGGGTGAGTGGAGGGATGGCTCCTGAGTTGGCGGGGGGGAGGCTGGGATAGGGAGACTGCGGATGGGTTGGGAAGATGTGCAGATGATGCTGTCGGCCTGAGTACATCATAAATCCATCCTTCTGGTGGACAGGGGATGTGGAATGAGCATCTCTCTTATCCCTGGGTCTGCTTGGAAGGACAGGATCTACCTGGCAGTGACACCTTGCTGGCAAGGTAGAGACGGGGAGGGATAAACTGGAGCAGGGCGACAGAGAAGAGGGAATGGGAAGGGAGACAAGGGTATTGAAATTACAACAAAGAGCGGAAATTTGGGCTGAATAACTCTGGAAAGCTTCCTGTAACTCAGCTGGGGCTGGTGACCTAGTGTTTGAACCCAGATGTGAACACAGACTGGAGTATATACGGATGGGGAGGAGCCCTGGTGATCAATCCCAGGGAGGGAACAGCCAGACCCTGAGGTCTGGGTTTGTTCCCTGGGACAATGTGACAGGAGATTTTGCTTCCCTCAGAAATCATCCCAACAAATGGTAAAGCAATGAAGGCAAGCCTCCCCTCTGGTTGACACCACATTGTAGCTGTTAAGGGGCTAGGAGAAGGGGGAGATGTTAGATAACTGATGCAAATGTTATTTCATAAATGTGCCACTAAGAAATCTGCCAAAAACCGGTACATCTGCAAGAACTGGCAGGGAAGTTAAGGGAGGTGCCAGAAGCCGTGCAGCAAATCAGTGGCAGAGGAGAAAGGGCACCTTGCGCAGCTCTGCTCCATGCCAGGACACCCCGGGTTTCTCAGGTACAGATGTGCAAACCCCCGAGATTCCAGAGACATCCTGGACAAAGCACAGATGGAGGATAGCTTGGACAGACCCTCTCAAGGGCTTTTTCTCCACCCATCATTCGAAATTAGTCGCAAAGAAGCTCCGACCAAAGGGGAAGGCAGAGGCTGGTGACCAAGTGACACAGTCCTGCTCTTCCCTGAAAACTTATTCTCTTGCAGGTTTTTTTCTGTAGTACTTTTGTCTCATTTTCTATCAACATGACCCTTCCTAAAGCTGGTAAAACTTCCAAAAACCTGACAGTACTACAACCCTGGCAGTCAGCATCCAGACTGAAAACTGCCCTTAGGGACAAAGCTCATCCCGTCCCTCCCCGGGGTGGCAGGGCTGACAATGAAGACCCCTGAGCCAGCTCTAAAACAGCTCGCAATGACTTTTTCCACCCTCCAAAAGCACGATAAAGACATCCTTTGTCAACGACAGGGATGGTGACAGCTACCCAGGAGACACCAATTTTCTGTCGGGGGTCAGCAGAGCGAGGAACGTTGGTTAAACCTCCAACATCTCAAACATTAGAGAGCAGGGGTAAAAAAGAAACCTGGAGAAACAAGTTCATAACGTAGCAGCCCCTCTTCCTGATCTTTTTATCAGAGATTTCACCCAGTTTTAGGGATTTCCAGAGCTGCCACCAAGCGCGGTCGCTGCAGGTGGCGCTGCAATGTAGGTTTTTAGCGGTGCTTGAGCTCGTGTAACAAGCAGCTCCGCTTTTTAGCAACTTAAATACCGTGTTGGTTTAACAAACTTGTAAAATGGCGGGAGGGGGGGGAACCAAAACAAAACACAAACCCCCCACCCAACTTCTGACAGTACCCTTTTTCTTTTTCTTTTTTTTTTTTTTTTTTTTTTTTTACTGGGGGCTGTTGAATCTTCAAGCGTACAGATGTACGTCCTCGGAAAAACAGGTGTTTTCTGTTCTTTGGGTGTTGTTGGAAGCGATCCCTGCGTGTAGCTTGGGTAACAAGGCACGAATTGAAAGGATGTTCATCGCTGTCCCGCTTGCTGGCGGAGGGGGATCCGCAGAGGGCCGCAGCGGTGCTGTCGGCATCCCCGAGCAACGGGGAGTGTTTTGGGACGGTGGGGGGGTGGAAATCAGGCATGGGAGGTCATTTGGATGGAGACGGCATGATTTTGCCTCTTCCCAGACGATGCTGAGAGCAGGTTTTGTGGGGTTTGGTGCTGAGCCCCAGGGGGTTTTCCCCCGGGAGCGGGGCACTGGGGGTGCCCAGTGCCTCTCCGGAGGGATCCATGATCTCTGCTGTCACCGTAGACGGGGGAAAAATATCCACTTGATGACAAAAGGGTGAGCCTGAGCCCTCCTTGTCCTTGGACCCTTTTACTGCAGCTATTCACAGGTCAGGGAAGGTCATTTGGGTTTTCCAGCCCTAACCCTTGTCCGCCCCCACTGCCTAGTTCATGAAAAGGCCTATAAATAAAGTCTCATTTGTCACTCACTCCTTTATGAACCCAAACAGCGCAGCAATATATTGACTCACGCCATTGTCTTAAGAAGCAGAAAGAATTCGTATTAATTTCTTCCTCCCCACCAGATAGTGGGAAGTAATCTCCACATATCCAGACTACCCCTTCCTAGCAGAACAGCCCGGTTTTAAATGCAAGACCAAATTTCCCAGAGATTTTCATATATTTTATTAAATGGAGCTGCAAGCCAGACTGGACATTAAATAATACTGTACTGCTCACAACAGCAGTGATCTTTAGAGGTTACTAACCTGCCATTGTATCGCTCAGATTTCCGTCTCGCTCTTCCGTTGTCATTTTGCTGTGTTATTACTCTTCAGGCTTCACATAGTATTCATTTCTCTGAATGAAAACAAATGACTCCTTGCAAGAGGCAGGAGATAAAGAATAATAAATACATTTTATGCACCACCTTAAAAAAAAAAAAAAAAAAAAAAAAAAAAAAAAAGGGCTCTGAATCCCCATCCATCCATCAGGAAATGTAAACCAGAGCTCAGGCAAAACACACACGCACACACAGGCACGCGTCAGGGAGATAAAACTTGTTTTAAGGAAAACATGATATTGTTTAAAAATAAATATCTTGGAGGATGCAAATAGACAGCCCCCAGCCCCCGTGTTTTGCGGCATAAATTTAAGATAATTAAAAATACAAAGCTTGGATTAAGCCTGATTTTCTGTGAATGGTAGAGGCTGTGGGGAGGAGGGATGTCCTGCTGTGCTTGGTGCTGTACCTCCCGAGAGGCAATCCCTGCCTCTGATCACGGCTACTGCTCGCCGCGAGCGGTGGGACCCCCTTTCCCAGCCACCGCCTGCATCCCTGCCGGATGCCCTCAACTTGGATGGGGTGGGGGGAAGCTGGAGGAGCACTCCCAGGGTTTTCCCCTCCTTGCCCTGCTGTGAGCATGGCCAACACCCCTGAGAGCAGAAGAGGTCTCCCCAGTTGCTTGCCCTTTGCACCCACCAGAGCTCAGCGAGGCGCCCATCCTCGCGGCGTCAGGGCTCCCCCATCTCTACGGGGCGGCAGCCCGGTTGCTACGCGCCTCTGTCGACACCCCGAGAGCACCCCGATCCTCGCCACCATCTGCCAACCCTGCTCTGCTTTCGGCCCGAGGAGAGCCCAGGTATTATCTGCGGAGAGGAGTTCAGGTCTCTGCGTGCGGAGGGAAGGAACTTGCTGCGTGGGGTCTGCTCGGTGGGGCAGGCAGGCCGGCAGCCTGCTGGCCACGAAACCCAGGCAGTGAGCACTAATAGCTTTTAAAACATACTATTATTCCTGCGGCTGCCAGGAATTAAATGAAGAGCCGGAGAGCAGAGCAGCTTGCAGCCGCTCTCTAGGATTACTGCTCACCCAAGCTGAGAGATTGATCTTCCTCTGAGCCTCCCCACGCCCGCTCTGATCCGCTCCCCTCCTCTTTTTGTCCTAGCCGGAGGAGAGCATCGGGGCACACGCTGGAGAGGGGAAGGGGAGGCAGATGCCAGCCGCGATGCCGAGAAGGGCTTTTCTGGGGAGATGATGGAGGGAGCCAGTAAGATGTATTTGATTCCTTGAGGATTGTGTTGGTTGGGTGTTTTTTTACCTTTTTTTTTTTTT